CCTATCTTCTAGAAGGTCTACAGCTAAGCTTCCAGAACTCACTAAGACTCCTACGCTATAGACCTACAGATCGAACCCCTGCTGTCTATGGACCTACGACAGGTCTACCAACTGCCTACGAATACACAGGTCACAGGTTCAATTCTCGGGGTCTACACAGATACTGTACATGGGTAGGGTGAGGTCTAGGGATTGAACCCTGGGTACTGCATCCGCTACTGCTAAAAGGTGAAAACCGTTTCATTGCTGTTGTTGTTGTTCTTCTTCTTCTTTTTCTTCTTCTTCTTCTTCTTCTTCTTCCGTTATCCCAAATCCCTTAAACCACCAGTACATCCGAAAAAGGAAATTGACCCGCTCCTAAAAAAAAAGAGGCCATGAACCGCCGATTCATTTTATCGACGGTCCATCGCCTCCAAATTTCTAGGACAGGCTCAATCTCCTTTTTTCGGATGCACTGGTGACTTAAGAAAGAAACCGGGTCCCGCATGAGGGAACCTGCTTTTGGGAGACCTATGTTGCGAGGCCGAAACAGGAAAACCCGAGGTTGGGATCCGGACATCCAGTTCGAAATCCAGACGGGCTGGACTCTGGATGTCTGGATATCTGGATGTCTGGATGTCTGGATGGATGGGTGGTTCAACGGTTTACTGGTTTAACCATGCCATTGCACGCACATCATAAACACTTCGATTACAATGATGATGGTTTAACGGCTTAACCTTGAAAAGTAGTGTTCCCCTTGAAAAGTAGTGATGGTGGTTTAACGGTTTAACCATGCCATTGCACGCACATCATAAACAGTTCGATTACAGATCCGTAACAACAGTTAAGAGGGCTGAGTGCTCATAATTAACCATAATAATACGATTGCATGTGATTACGAATTCGATTGCACATCGACATTAACCATACAATCAGTCTGTCCTTCGAGGCATCCGTTAAAATTGGAACGATACAGAGAAAGTTAATTAGCATCGCCTCTGCACAACGATGACACGCATAAATCGAGAACTGGTCAAAATTATTAAGAAGGAGAAGAAGAAGAAGAAGAAGAAGAAGAAGAAGAAGAAGAAGAAGTAGAAGAACGACCACCATCAGGTCCATCACCATATAATCAGTAATGGTAACCGTTTGCGATACTACTCATTGATTGATTGCCATGTAGTTAGAGAAGGCCTACCTTCCAAACCCAATGGCGAGGTATCCACATGGCTGTGCTGCCTGCGCTGCCAAAGCAATAGAGTCATTCTCAACGGTCCAGAAAAGTTCAACCTGAGAGACAAAACCCATGTAAAACCAATTGTTTGAGTAAGTAGCAAATCGTCGGGAGAAAAAGAGAGGGGATCCGGTGCCAAAGAATTGAGCTGGAACTTAGAACTTGTTCCAAGGACTTGGACCCGGTTCCAAGGAATTGGACCCGGTGCCAAAGAATTGAGCTGGAACTTAGAACTTGGACCTGGTTCCAAGGAATTGGAACTGGTTCCAAAGAATGGGACCTGGTTCCAAGGAATTGGGCCTGGTTCCGAAGAATTGAGTTGGGACTTCGAACTTAGAACACAAGGATTTTGAGGTCGAAGGATGGGTTCACGGAGGTACAAGGTAGAAAGACGGATGCATGGATACCTAGGACGGATATAGGACAGCGCAATGGAAGAGCACGGAAATCAGAGAACCGTTGGTGCCAAAGGCAATGGTGGGGGTTGGGGGGTTGCGGGGGGGGAGAGGAAGTCAAACTTCCAAGTCAAACATACAAGTCAAACTTTCAAGTTACCCCTGACTCAAACTTAACGGTCAAACTTACAAGTGAACCTTACGAAACGCTTCCTCCATCTCATTACAGCCAGAGGAACCCCGGGCAGCGGTCAAACCTCCAAGTCAAACTTCCAAGTCAAACATCAAGTCAAACATCCAAGTCAAACTTTCAAGTCAAACATCCAAGTCAAACTTTTAAGTTACACCTGAGTCAAACTTACAGGTCAAACTTACAAGTCAAGCTCACAAAACGCTTCATCTCATTACAGCCATGGGAACCACAGACAGCAGTCAAACTTCCAAGTCATATATCCAAGTCAAACTTTCAAGTCAAATATCCAAGTCAAACTTTCAAGTCAAATATCCAAGTCAAACTTTCAAGTCAAATATCCAAGTCAAACTTTCAAGTTACACTTGAGTCAAACTTCCAGGTCAAACTTAGAAGTGAAGCTTACAAAATGTTTCCTCCATCTCATTACAGCCTCAGGAACCCCAGACAGCAGTCAACATTCCAAGTCGGACTTTCAAGTTACACTTGAGTCAAACTTACAAGCTTACAAAACGCTTCCTCCATCTCATGACAGCCACGGGAACCGCGGACACAGCATTGGTCATTGGTTGCTCTTCTCAGAAGAAGAGGGTCGACTGGGAACCGCTGGCTATTTCCGGCTAACATCACCCGTCGGCGGTTTCACGGATATTTTCGTTCCAATGGAGAATGGACCAAGATGGCTTGCAACACCGACGGGCAAAAAGAAAAAGTTTGGATCCGCAGCGGTTCGACTCTATTTTGGCACGCAGCAGGAAACCGGCGTCGGCGTCGGCGTCGGCGTCGGCGGTGGTTTAAGAAGAAAAGAACCAACAAAAAGATGAAACGCTTTTAAAAAAAAAGGATTGATTGAAGTGTGTGAGTGTGTGAGTGTGATGTCTCACCCGCTCGTTCGATAACCAAGCACGCGACTGATACATATCCGGCAGTCCGCGCTCCAAAATCTCAATGAGCCAACCCATCTTCTTTCCTGTAAGTGACTATTCCAAAGACAACAATTTTAGTTAAAAAAAAAGGAAAAAAAAAAAAAGGGGTCAAATCACCCACTTGCCGAGCTGGGAAATTGGTTCAGCCATTCTCAGTTTTTTCTTCTTCTTCTTCTTCTTTCTTTTTTTTTTTTTTTTTTCCGTTGTTGTTGTTATTGCTGTTCTGTTTTCTTATGCTTCTACCCACACTCGCAGAAAACGCACCCCCACGCCTCATTCCTGTTTTTCTCTATCCGATTTCTTAACAAAACGATGGTGAACGTCCGCATCAACTTATTGAAGTTCGTGTGTTTGCGTAATTTGCACTGTTTTTTTTTGTTTTCCCCCCCCCCCGGTAAACTTATCGTATCGTAACAGGACTCAAAAAAAAAAACTCTACCACCGCGCCTAGCTCAGTTGGTACACACTGGAACTGTTGAAATACAGAAGGACATTCCTCTTCCTCTTCATCTTCCTCTTCATCTTCCTCTTCCTGGTCGGGGCTGCATCAAGAAGGTTCTCTGAGGGGGTACGCGTCGCTCGGAGATGGACTTAATCAACAGTGAGGCTATGGCGGGGGGKAGGAGATGGGAGAGCCATCATAGTAGCTGGATTGTCCTCTGAACGTCCATGCTAGGAATGGGTCGACTGCCATAGCCAGGTGCTCTACCAAACAGAGAGGAGAGTGAGAAGAGGCTAAAGGAGAGTGTTCTTTCTTCCCTGCCAGTAGCAGAAGTATCTTTCAGACATTGATTCCTTTTTCCAGTTTTTATTATTTCACATTATTGTGAATAAGAAGAGGCAGCGATTGTGTGAGGGCTCATGATGCTGATGATATGATGATGATGATGATGATGATGATGATGATGATGATGATGATGACGATGATGATGATGATGATGATGATGTCGAGAGGAGGGAGACGACATTGGTTCAATCTTGTGTTCTTCTTCTTCCTCCTTCCTTCCTTCCTTCCTTCCTTCCTTCCTTCCTTCCTTCCTTCCTTCCTTCCTTCCCCTCTTCCTTCCTTCATTCTTCTCTCTCCCTCATCCAGTTCTGCTCTTCTTCTTATTCTTCCACCATCATCTCCTCCTCCTCTCTTCTCATTCTTCTTCCTTCCTTGATTCATTTTCTTCTTCTCTCTTCCTCGTCCAATTCCACTCTTCTTCTTCGTCAGTTGTGAACTTGCGATGCGTGGCATTGTCTCTCTCGACACGCAAAAGATTGCTGACACAACCCCACAAGAGCCAACTTGCAGGCACCACAAGAAGAAAAAGAAATCCAGACCACAAACATTTGTTTAATCTTGTCTTCTACTTCTACCTCTTCTTCTTCTTCTTCTTCTGCTTCTGCTTCTGCTGCTGCTGCTGCTGCTGCTGCTTCCGTCATTCATGCACTTCTTCCACTTCTTCCACTTCTTCCACTTCTTCCACTTCTTCCACTTCTTCCACCAATTCTTCTTCTTCTTCTTCTTCTTCTTCTTCTTCTTCTTCTTCTGCTGCTGCTGCTGCTGCTGCTGCTGCTGCTGCTGCTGCTGCTTCTTCCGCTTCTTCTTCTTCTTCTTCTTCTTCTTCTTCTTCTTCTGCTGCTGCTNCTGCTGCTGCTGCTGCTGCTGCTGCTTCTTCCGCTTCTTCTTCTTCTTCTTCTTCTTCTTCTTCTTCTTCTGCTGCTGCTGCTGCTGCTGCTGCTTCTGCTTCTGCTTCTGCTTCTGCTTCTGCTTCTGTCATTCATGCATTTGTTCTTCGTTCTTCGTTTCCCCTCTTCCAATTGCACTCGAAGATCATTTGCAAACTTCCGACGTTTGCAGACATCTTGTCTCAACATGCAAAAAAACTTGCAGACAAAACACAGGAGCCAACTTCCAGGCACCACAAGAAGAAGAAGAGAGAAAAATTGCAGACACAACAGAAGAGAAAAAGTTCAGTTTTGCAGACACAAGTAAAGACCCTGCAGGGATGAGAGAAAAAAACTGGCAGATTCCGCAACCAAAGAAAACTTCCGGGCTCAACAACAAGACAAAAAGTTGAAAAAACGATGCAGACGCAACACGAGAGCAAGTTGCGGAACAGAAAACACAAGAAGAAAACTTGCAGATGCAACACAAGACAAAGCTTGCCGGAGGAAAAAAAAAAAAAACAAAAAAAAACTTTAAAAAAGGCATAAGTTCCGCATAACACGACAAGAGAGAAAACTTTTATAGGCAAAACTTCACAAAAGCGACAAACGGCCCTGGCAGTAAACAAGGGACGAATTACCTGATAGTAAACGGGGTTGGGTGTGTGCGCGTCGGGCGTCCAAGTCATGGCATAAGGACTCGTATGGACTCCGCTGCTCTCTGGACCGCCAGCCAAAACAAGCTCACTTTCGTTCCATTTACCCCCAACCGGGTCAGGCGTAATGTAGAAGGGCACATCGTGTCCAGCCTCTACAGAAAACATGATTTCTACGCCCCTCTCCACCTGCCCCCCGTTACCCCACCGCAATGCACTCCCTCCTTCCCCTCCTTCCCTCCCTCCTTCCCTCCCTCCTTCCCCCCCAAAAAACAACCCATGGCAATCCCATAACCCACTCTCTCACAAGGCAACCCAGCTGCCAACCACCCCATCATCAACCTACACCGCCATTCCGCACCCCTAATCTTGCACAAAATGGCCGAATGACAGAAATTCACCCCATCTTGCAGACTGCCACTCAATCCACATTCTTGGCCCACACCACAGCAAATTGAGGAAAAGCAGCAGCAACCAACCAACCACCACAATAAGAAAACCACCGATCACCGCAGTAAGAAAGCAGAAGTGGGAGCAAAAAAAAAAAAAAGACTGCAGAAGCAAGCGACATGTAGTAGTCAAGGCTACCATAGTGGCCCAGAACCACTTGTCGAGTAAGTTCGTAGAGTAAGTTCGTCGAGTAAGTTCAATGCGCTAAAAGCACGTGACTTAGTGACAACAGGAAACAACCCCCGTGATCGACCCTGATGCTCACAGCCTCACGCAGATCACAACCCACCGTTGTACAATCTTCGCGCCCGATCATCACTCGGAGATGAGAACAGACACCAAGCAAGCTCATCCAGCGACGGTGGAAGAGGAGTTAGGTGGGGAAGAAGGAGAAAGAAAAGAGGGAAGAAGGGAGAAAGGAAGGAAGGGAAAGGGAGGAGAGAGGAAGAAGGAAAAGTGGCGGAAGAAGAAGAAGAAGAAGAAGAAGAAGAAGAAGAAGAAGAAGAAGAAGAAGAAGAAGAAAAAGAAGAAGAAGAAGAAGAAGAAGAAGAAGAAGAAGAAGAAGACGGCGACAACAACGACAACGACGACGACGACGACGAAGAAGAAGAAGAAGAAGAAGACAGAGAGAGTTTCGAGAGGCTCCAGGAGGTAGCGCAAAACAAGGCTTTCTTCTGAAAAAAATCGTGAGCAGAGAACAGCCACTGGCGAGTGTCTTGACCGGATTCGGCTCTACCGCCAGTGTAGGGCCATCATCAGGAGACTGAGCGCTTTTGGTAAAGAATTCCGATGTGACCCTGAGGCAAAAGGTGTTCAGTTTACTTTTCTGCATAACATTTTTTTTTCCAGTTTCTTTTTTTTTTGTTGTTGTTGTTGGGACCTTCTTTGGTCCTACACGGCCGGGTCACCCGGGCAAACATGGTGACCCAGGCGGCCTGGCTGGTAGCCTAGGTAGTTGTGTAGTATAATAAAATAATACTTTCCCTGTACTATACCCACCACAGTCCTCGCATTTGTTTATATTATATATTATTTAAAAGACAAAAACAAAGCAGTGCTGAGTACTGCTGACAGTTGCTCATCGGACACATTGCAACACTCTCTCAACGGGTCCTGTGAGTCCAAAACCGCGCGAGAGAGAGAGGGGGGGGGGG